TCAAAATTCAACTTTAAAAGAATGCATAAATCGGCCTGCCCAGAAGCTAGAATAACCAATGTATGCTTGACATAGTACCAGACACTAAAATTTAGGTAGTCAGTGTTGTTGTTTAGTTGCTCGATAACTCAAATATTTGATATACATTCCAAAATGGTATAACACATTGCAGTGAATCGATTGAGGAATACCAGCTGTGAATGAGATTAAGTGTACAAAATGATCATCCGACAGTACGATCATTTATTTATATTTGACTAGAATTACTGGCTGAAGTGTGTACTTTCTAGATTATTTTAATGCTCTTTAGTAACATCTTAATGATTTGGCAATCCAAATATAGCTAAATTATTCAGGAGTCTCCCGAACTTTATTAATCACTGATAACCAAATAAATACTTCCCGAAATTTCGAGTTTTTCAAAAAAGTTCAGTGATTGAATGGAATCTTCAGTACATCTTTCTGTTTGAAATAAATTTCAGTAGATCTCTAAATACCACACTTCCTGTCCAATGAAATACACATCCAACCTAGCAATTTATAGATCAGAAGGGGATTTGTGGAGATTTCAGTATTTTTTCAAAGTTCAAATCATGAGTCAATTGAAGTTAGAATCCCCTTCTGATTATAATCATATGCTCACTAGTGACTGACTCCAAGATACATGTCCTGGAGTCCTAGTGGGAAGCAGTGACCAGTGGAGTTCAACCACATCTGTTGTGAGATAACAACTCACTGAAGGCAATTGGTGAATGGTCGCTCATAATTCGTGGATCGGTTGAAGTTAGACATTAACACCGTTGGATGCCGGCTCAGTGGTCTATCGGTTGAGGGCTCTGGATCGAGACTGGTAGGTTCTGGGTTCGATTCTGGCGAGTGCGGGATCGTGGGTGCACACTGCTGAGGAGTCCCAATAATAAGACGAAATGGCCGTCCAGTGCTTCCAGGTTTTCCATGGTGGTCTATCTTCAATTGACTAATGATTTCAACCTTGAAAGATATTTAAAGTATTCTACTTGTAAGTAGTAGATTGTAATATAGATAATTTTACTCATGACCTTTAACCTTCCGTTACGAAATTATGTAGCTCATGTTTTATCTAATGATAAAATGAAGTTTTCCACTTCGAAAATATATCAATGTGATTGGTTATTTTTATTTACCCTTGCAATATAATGGTTAGATCTCGAACGAATTATACGGTTATGAAACAGGAACCCTATTATGTAATTTCGTCAATATGTTAGTTAATTAGTTTTTGGCTGATATAATGTGATATATGCGTAGGCAGACTTTTATTTACTAGACAAATTGAAATAATACAAATCTCAAAAATGTCAAACAAATTTCTCATTGAATTTTTGTCCATGAACTTTTATTTTTGACATTTTCGAAAAGTCTGTAGTAGTAGTCAGTGGAAGAGTATTTATATGATGTAGTATACTTCTCGTAGAAGATGGATAATAATGTAAGAAATTAACATTTTTTGCCGATAAATGGAAACGAATGTCCCATAGTTCAATTACTTTTTTCTCTGAAAATCAAGAGATTCCATAGCTAATATTTGTCTTAATTACAGTATCTTTTTGTTTGATAAAAGAACTATATTAGGATTGAATTTGAATGTCACTTTTACGACCGTCCGGTGAGGAGTTTTGAGTTTTCTAATAGGAAGGTTTCAAATTCTCCAGCGTTCTTCTACCGTTATAAATCTCAAATTGTCGATAACTGTTGTAACTTGTGGCCGATTGGATGCCCTGATAATGTTCAACGTGATAAGACTGCCAATCAAAGAGCAGTGAATTTATAGACAGGACTAGTTATATATGAAAACCGTACGAACAGTCTAGAGTACTTGTCGATCCAGCTATCTACCTAGCCCAGCCAGTTAATCCAGAACTCCAATAACAGCCTCTGTGGTACGAATCATTTATTTTAAACATACTACGTTTATATTCCAATCATACTGAGCACATAGTACCATAAAATAGAAATTAACATTTGTACAAGATTCAGCCAAATGTGACTGTGAAAAGGAGGAACAGTAATTAATAATTTGGGTATAACTCAGGAATGGTAGATCGCACAGTAATAGTCTATGAGTCAAAATGAAGCTCATAGTAAAAAAACATGAGTATGAATAGTTAAGTTACTAATCATTTATACAATAGGAAATATATGTATCATAATGGTCCATAAATAGTTACCAAAAGTTACCATTCATAATTCTCTTCGGGATATAACAATAACTTAGATTTTATATTGCTGCACTGACCCTTGCAACTATCTGATTGCTTGTTTACTCTTCAAATTCCTCATTCTTTTTTACATATTTCTAATGTTTTTGTCAGTACTATATAAAAAGAACCATTGTATTACATTTTGCCTTCCTTGGAAAATACTACAGATTTCCTGAATATATAGTACTCTGTTTCTCTTATTTGCCGGTAAATGATTAACCTTGAAGTGATGCAGTGTATTGTTATTCGACTCATCTACCTTGGGTAAATCTAGTCTCCTAAAAGACCTAAGTCTCAACCTCCTGTCATTTAAAAATATCCTTAAATACCACAAAACATAACATTTCTGCGGAAACGTACACTTCAGTCCCGATAAATGTATCGAGGAATGCTTTATTCAATTTACAAAATGGTAATGCTAAATATATCAGTAATAAAACAATTAATGTAGTGTTATTGGCACGGGTGGGACAGAGAGTCTGGTCGAAATATTTTAGATAATATACCATATCATTTAAGACACTTGCAATCATTTATTTTCTCGAATACAGTCATTTAAAAGCATTCTTATTTTCTTTAGCTAAATCGGATCACACTTTTCTCATTATATCCTTGGGAAAACCCTTTAAATAATCTGGGATTATAATTCTATCACATACATATTTGTAATAATAAATACCTGTACTTCGGCTATCTTGAGTGTTGAGTCTCTCTCGTCTGGATTAGGAAATTGAAAAATACATAGTTATTGTTAGTCAAATACTGGTAATTACTCAATCTTTACCTGTTTAAGCTGTTTGAAAAGTGATATCTAAAAACAAAAGCTTTGAAATTATTTCTTTACTGTTAATGTTCTAACGAAGTAATTTATTACAAGTGTATGAATCAAACTAAAATCTACTGAGACAATTGAATGACTAGTACTAACTGAATTGTTTCCAAAGTCATTTCATCTATTTACGTAAAGCTTATTAACAAACTCTTGTCTGTAATGATCAGATAGCACTTCTGCAATATTAAGTAATGTACACAACATCCAGTGATTTTGAAATTTAATTAAATATCTCACTATGAATTATATTAAAACTTCTGATTTTAATTCATGAAAAAACCATATCAAATTACTACTTAACGTATATTTCAGTATTTAATAAAATTTTCTTTAGGCTGGTGCATATAAGCATTTATATTGCGTTTGAGTGAATGTTATTTATGACCATGATGTATTAGAATATATAAATAGTTCACTAAAAAATTTACGTAATCAATGTTTCAGAAATTCATTCACTAAGTAACTACTTGCAATAAATTTATATCTTTGAAAGTAATATCAAGGTGTTTAAAATATGTTTTACCTATTATTGGCTACGTCGAGCTGGAAATTCTAACAAATGTGACATGCTACTAGCGAGTAGTTAAAAAATAAATTGAAAGTTAATAGCATGGTGTATGACTAACTATTAAATTTTCAAGGTTTTGAAAACTTTGGACTCTGTATATTTGTTTTTCTATCATCTACCCGTTAGTTTATATAAAATGCTTGAAATCGGAACAGGATTAACGTTGAGTCTGAGTTCAAACTTCAGGTCTCTAGAGGCTTGCTTATCTACTTCTGTAACCGAGTATTAGTTCAATATTCAGTTTTCAATCAAAATTACACTCTATTTTGCTAGGGTTAGTAAAAATTGTTTCACCATTAAGATAGAAATATTTATGGGTGAAATACAAAGAATGGTTAGTTGAATAGAAATCGGTAAGTGTTCTCTTTTACCTCAGATACATCCCTCAAGCTCCTGCGGACTGAATACTAGTCCACTAATAATGAATGGATACCTTGTTAACCAATAATACAAATGATAAAAGTTTTACTAAGCGTATCATTTTGCAATATTTTATGTTGCCATTGTCTTGGAAAGACTCTTCTATCACGGTCACGAAAAATTCCTAAAAGATAAAAATCTCTTTCGTGTGATTATTAGTGTTATAATAAAAATTTCGTAAAAATGAAATCCCTTGTTTAAAATTCACAAATCCAAGAAATAGTTCATTTTCAGATGAAGTAGCATAACCGATCTAGGTTAGATTCAGTGACAAGCCCCACACTAATCTAGCTGTGAAGTTCGCTTTCATGTCAAGTTTCAACTATGATTCAGTCAGTTTATATGGTCTCGAATCGCTTTACAAGTTAAACTGAAGGTTGAAAGGATTTTCTAACCGTTTATAAGCTTCTTAAATGTAAAGTGGAAAATACATAGATAACTATGTGATTAAAAAGTAGGTCACAAATGAATGACTTAAAACATTCAAAATCCGTTTTGAAAGGTAATATTAACATAAAGAAGTATATTTAAGTAGAAAATAGGTACTATGTAATTAACTAAATCGGAAACTGCTAAGTTCTACTTGTGAAACAGTTGATAAAAATCAGTAAGTTTTAAGACGCTGAGTAAAGTTTACATATAAGGGAGGTATTTTAATCTAAAATCCACATAGGGTTTGAAATTTTTGTTATAAATTCTGAACTTTGAAAAATAAAAAATAACTTGTTCATGTTTGATTTTATTACTCTTGAACTCTAGATAAAAGAAATGCGATGACGTAGATGTGTATGTCGTATGTATTTTCCTTTCTTCCCTGTATATAATCTAAATCTGCCTATGTTCATCTTTGCCTCATAACTTCCATTTTTACTCTATTTCTTAGTATGGTTACACTACCGCATAACTATCTATATTTCAACTTTCCACAATCAGTATATGTCTAGAATTTAAAAATTGCTTTATCTAAAAGTTATTCACTGAACGAAATTATTTGAAAAGATAAAAACAGAACCTTATACTAGTTGTCTAAGGAATCAAAACAAGATAAAATGGAATAGCATTTTACTCTTTAGAAAGGACTGAATTAATTCTGATTGGTAAAAATGATCCCGATTGAAGATAATAAATTGGATCTTATTTCATACGCTGTTATAATAATGTTCAGAAATATATATTTTGATCATCATAATTTTGTATTTAATAACTCCTAATCATATTAACAAGCTTTCATTGAATTTACCATTAATTTCAAAATCTTGTGTGCAACAAAATTTAGGTATTTTTTTAAATAAAAAGTCATATAAATCAAATCATATACTTATGAATTCCCAGGATCCCTTTTTCGTCTTGTATACAACTATTAATCACATGAGAGCACCTGTAACGAAATGAAAAATCTTCCAGTTCATAAGTATGTTTTTATAATAAACCAATATATAGTTGATGAGTAAAATTGACAAGAAAATAACGGTGAGTTCACTCATTACCAATCACACCACCGTTATTCAATTCAAAATGCTGTCATCACTACAACATGTGAATTATCTTTCATTTCAGGGCTATCATGATGATCGTTAGTATTAGTAATAACTGTAGTAATATTATCATTTTCAATGTTGGTATCTGTTTGTACAATAACTTTCTGTGACGAAGCTTCTTGTTTTATATTTGTCTTCAATTTCATCCATCCATCCCAAGTAGCAGATCTTGAAACTAATCGATAGAATTTCACGTCTTCTAAAATATTTTTAAATTCTCTTGTTAACTGAATATTTTCGCAAACCAACTCGTTTTCTTCGTCTGTATCTTCTAATTCATCAGCCGGCGATTTACTAAGGCAAGTATTGCTAATCTCCTTTATATCTATATCATTGTCTGGTGTTGATGAAGTGACTAAACCATCACATTCTTCTTTATAAGCTGTATTACATTCTTCATTACCAACGGATATCGATGAGTTATGTGAGTTTTGTTCTTCTTTTTCCATTATTGGTTCAATTAAGTAACCAAAATTCCAATTTTTTGTATATGAACATGAATTATTAACTGGTTTATTTATTAAAGTAGATGATGATGACGTTGATAGAGCTGACGTATCACTTATTGCTGACATTAGTGAGTTCACATTCATTGAGCTTTAAATAGGTGCAGAAATTAAAGAAAATAAGGTATTATATAACTGTAAATTAAATGGATAAGAATGTTTTATCTGTACATTAAATGAGAAATAGATTATAACATTCGATACTTGTTAAAAGTCCACCTAGTTTTAATAACATGATGTAGAATAAATTAGATTTACTGACTAAACATCCAGAGTTACTGAAATAAGTTGATCTGAAAGGGTATTTCTTACCATTTCAGAAGGTTAAATAAACTTAATTTTTTCTGAAATCTTATATGACTGTAAGATGTTTTGTTTCATTTTGTTATTTTTACACATCTTAGATTAGTTTTTGTGTTGACCTATGAGGAATTATAAGATGATGTTTTTAATAATTATACTTTGAAAACATTCAAAATTTTCTAGTTAATATTAGAGTTTCAAAAAAGTAAATGATTACCTTTTGAAGCAGATACAAAATCTTGTTTTACGCTGACATTTCAAGAAACATCTTCATCAAGATAGTCCTATTATCATCAAATATAAACGATGATTCTTTATTATTGTATGTGGTAAAATTCACGCTTCATTTCACTTGTTGTAACTGTAATAAATTCGATCATAGTATTTTCAACGGTATTTTGTCTTACAGTTAAGTAAGCGTTGATTAGTCACTAGTTCTGCTCGAAAACTTATTTTTTATGACTGAATTATTTCTTAGTGTAGTTCTTACGTGCTTCACCACATTATCCTTTAACCCGTTTTTATGCCCAATCTTTCTTAAATGTTGTTTATTTTCTCACTAGAAAAGATCGTTCATTTCTGTACACAAATATTTTAACAACTACTTTTTTCTTAGTGCCGTTATCGTCTTCTATAACTCATGAGCTCGTAACAGAGTTCGAATTTTCATGTTCTGTCTTATTATTCTGCTAGATATAAACTTTCGTCTTTTCTATCTCTCACCTTCGCTATTTTTATTCTCCAAATTCAACTTTTTAAAAAAAATCTGAAACTTTACTCTTCGATTATCATTTCCTTCACCTCATACATATTCAGAAATAGATACCTAATCCAGGGGCTAGATATACTTTGGCTTTGATTGCCAGCATAGACTTAATTATTGCAGAGAGTTTTTATGAACTTGTTAAAATTTCCATAGATCCTGGATATACAATTAGTGGTGCATAATTAAATCTCTAAATTATTGATCCGAAATACTCAAGTATTATTTTCAGCCAAGCACTCACTCAGACGTATTTGTGAATGAAAAATTACTAATTTGTGCGACCGCTTTATATATTCATTCATCTCTCTACTGAATCTCTGATAACAAATGCATAAAGCACGTCTTAATTGAATTATTTTCACATCCTTAACTGCAAATCAATAAACAGGTTTATTTTTAAAAGTTTAGTTTACTCGTATGGTACATGTTGAAACAGACGTTCTGTTTAAATTATGTAATTCAAAATTTGTAAGTATAGTGAAATCGGAGGACGTTCTCATATATCTAAGAATAAATTTTCTACAATAGCCTGAAATTAAATGAATTATTCATTATAACAGCTCCAACTGATTTCTGCAGTTCCCCATTTTCTGTTTCTCACGTATCTCCTCAATCAATAACTCATTAAATAACAATAAGAAAGTGAACCAAAAAAGAACACAGTCTATAATAATACGTCACTGATTATGAAATCATCTCAAATGTGAAGAAAGCAGATTAGATTTGTATATGCGTTAACCAAATGTTATAGAGCATAAATGATATTAATAAGCATCCAAAGTTGGCGTAGAACTCATTCTATTACTTCGTGGACTTTGATGAAAACCTTTCAATTTATAAAAGCGAGGTATTTGGATAAAGAAGTATTCTGAATGTATAGTGCCGGAACATATTCTGTTTCGCATCAATTTTGAAAAAAGAGGTAAACGTCGACTAATCTGAAAAAGAAGTTTTCTCAACCTAGAAAAAGTCCTGGGCATGCTGAAAATCTGAGTTCAGTGCTCAACCGACACAAGTTTAAATAAGTTCAATTTGAAATTACAGTCGACTAAAAGCTGTGCATTTACACTTAAATTAGTGTTTACACATAGTTTTTAGTTAAAGTCCTAAGCGTTTTACTATTAAGTGTCCATGGCCAAGGACCTTTCCAGAAGGGTTGAGAAGTTAATAAAAATTTTGGAACCACATTTATAACGACTAGAAACATAAATAAAATCACCTACACAAATTATGGATCATTGCAAATTGTTTTTGAAACTTACTGATACGTTAGATATTTCAGACACTTGATTGTAATTTCAAACCTCTCTGTAACAATTCAAATCTAGTTTTTATTGATAGTCATTACCGTTACCAAGTGGGAATGGCGATATAAAAGTGTCAATAACTAACAACATACTGTTGTATAACATATGAGGTTATAAATCAGTCGTACTGGTGAGCGATTCATCATGAAAAAGCAGCGGAGATGCGAGGGACAACAACCTATATTTGCAGACCACAGGAGATTTTTAAATTATTCGGTCAGATTAAAACAGAGGTCTGTAGTCCGTGTGACTTAATTAAATTCATATAAGCCGAATAAGTTTACTTAAACAAACGAACTTAAACACCGCTAGAAAACAATACCTATCAAACTATCAACTTAAGAATAATATTTTCTGAATAAAACTAAATCATCTGTGTTACAGTATTTACTAAAACATAGATACTGAATCATCATCAGTGACTAAATACTAAGAACAATGGAAAGAAACAAATGAATAAATAATTAACTACAAAATGCATAAATAACCAATATATTTAGTGAATATAGGGATTTAGTTGTACGTTTCTATAAGTATGTAATGTAAAGATAGAAAGTAAGCTTCAATCACCAATTCTAAATAAATCAATCCCCCCTTTTTAACTACTGAAGTCAAACAAAAGGCTCAAATTACAAAATAAAAACACTAGATTTTTTCCACTTGTGAATACCCTAATCAATATTCACTGTATGTTTTAAGATTTATTCATGCGATTTATTACTAGTCTAATTTGCATAAAATAGTTTGTTCGACTTCACAACATATTACTCGTAAATGCTAACCATTAAAAAGTTGACTGAATAAAATCATAGGGTACAAAAATATTTTGTATATTAGTATTAACGGGTATAAAAACCATGACAACGGATCAAAGAAACGCAGTAAACATCGTCATACTGGTAGTACTCATGTTTGAGGCTATAATAAAGTGTAAGCAGCCCTTGTATTAATAAAGATATCTGCATGTCTGACTTAAGATAATTTTCAGGGAAAAAAGAAATATCTCGTTTTGAATTTAAAGAAAGGTATGTTGAGAATCAAAATACATTGATTGTTAAAATTGCTGAGTCAATACGTCTATGATATGCATAAAAAATGAAATCCCAGTGATAGAAAAACTATAAGTTCAAGTATATGGTTCGATCGTGTTTAGTTTTGTTGATTTAACGGTTTAATCATATCTTTATATCATTCGGCTCTACTGTGTTCATTCATTTTTACGGGATTATCTATGTTTTCATAGGTCTTGTATAATTAATAAACAGGACAAAAAACTGTTCTTTTTAAGACCAATATACTGTCTATCGTGAACTCCAAGATTATCGAATTTTTTCAATCTTAATCCAATTACAAGACTGGGTCTACCACTACACAAGCTCATAACACGCTACGTGTGGATTTTAGCATACTCTCTAGAATCGCAATATACTATTATATATATGTTTTCAAACACATAATATCATTTATGACAAAATGTATAATTTGATTCTACTTCAAAAGTAATGACTTAGCTCGTTTTTTGTCACATTCATTACAACTATTAATTTTATGGTGAATAGTCCCAACTATAACGAGAAGTCTGTTGGACTTTATTTTATATTCTAAAAAGTAATACATCTTTGGGAAACTTGCGTGTGCATCAACGTTTAAGAATAAAATCTCGCTTTCATTTCTTTTATTAAACGAGTATTTATGAAACTTAAAATTACTTTGTGTCATCGTTTGTATCTCCATTCTTAAAATTTATCTACACTTTATGCACGTAAACTCGATGTTTATTTCCTGAACAAAGATTATTGGCTCTTGGCTATAGTCTCAGGAAAAGTTTGTAGTAATGACAGCTGACGTCTATAGTAGATGGTACAGTAAAATCATTGGCTATAACAGTTTTTGACTATTTAAAATCTAATGAAGAAAACCAAATTTACACCAGAATACGTTAAACGTACCATGATGTTACAGTTGTTTCATCCTCATTGTTACCATTATTTGTTAGTGATTTTTGATTATGATTAGTTGAATGTTTTGTGTTGAACATCGTATTGGTAATTTGTTCAGCATTAACATAAACGGGTTGTGAAGCTTCGCTTAAATTATCTTCTTCCTCTTCTTTTTCTCGGCAAATATTGTCATCTTCACGTTCGCACAGTGTTTCTGAGATGAAAGTTTCTTGAGAACTATAATTATTGTAAATCATGTTTTTTTCTCTCATTTGTTGTCTTACTACAGTTACTCGTGGTGAATTGGCATTACTAGAATGTTTTAACTGCTCTGGTGTATTTAATTCAAATGCAGTTTGACATGAACGTTCAGCAAAACATTTACCAGAAGTTATTATAAAGTTTTCTTCTGGAAATATCCATGATGATGATGAAGACTTTGCATCGCTATCATAAGCCAATGAGACAGAGATTTCTTTTGGTAACATATTTGAAGAATTTTGCCTTTGATGAAAATTATGTGATTCTATATTTTGTAGTAGAAACTCATTAACAGAGTTGGAACGTGGTTTAGTTTTCAACAACGGATCGATTGAGTTGAGAGAAGTTAGAATATTTTTCTTTTTTCTAGGCTCTGACGAAAACCAACAATGATTTGTTTCATTTAAATGAAATTCATTAGATTCCTTTTTGATCTCTTGTTCTATTATCCATTTGCTAGAGTCCGTAACACGTCTAGATAACTGAGACTGGATAGTTAGTTGTTTCATCTGACGAAATAATCTTGATTGAAATTTATCAGCATTGTCTATTAAAAAGATGAACAATCCGCGACCATCTTCACACCCACTTCCGGTTATTAAATAAAAACGTTTGGAATACACACCAAATCTACATAAATTCAAAATGTTATGATAAGAAATTAAGATTAAATATAAGTTTTACTGTCTATTTTGGGTTAGATTGAACTGTCGTAAAATTTAAGACCAAATTTCTTTGTGAATATTGGACACAAATTTGATTGTTCTACATTACTCTTAATTATTGTCATATTGTCTATAGAAGGAATATCAACGATGTAATAAATGCTTTTTTTAGTTCGTCACAGGTAGGTACAATGTGGATAAGTCAATACATGAAATTAATGTTCGATATCTGCTGAAAGAGTATTTCAGAATTGAGAGCATTATATTACATTTTAAATAGCTAACTAGAGCTATGTTTAAATAACTGTCAATTGACTGGCTAGTTCAGCTCCATTGATAATAAAAAATTTTTTTTAACCATTCTATCACACTATACAATAAGTAATATATAAGTGATATTTTATGATAACCTCTGTGTGGATGACTTCCAGTATAGAATAAATACAAGAAAATCAGTAACTAATGAGCTTAATATTTGGATCAGTGTGAGTGGTCAGTTGCTGGTAATGATCTTTACATCTGTTTACTGCCGCATTAAATATTAAGCCAAAGTTGCATCAATAATTCTGCTGGTAAAATTAAAGCAGTATATCGAGGACGAGAGTGTAATAGGTTGGAAACTTTGAACGTGAAATCTTCATAACTAATCTTAAGTTAGTGTTAATAGATTATTTTACAGTCACGAACTAGTAGTTTAAAAAAATGTTTTTTTAACAAGTATGTTTAATCTTTGAACCTATTTAAAGTCTATTTACAAATTCTAGACTTGATACACTAATGGTTACCAGGATTTTAACATTTTACATAGATCTACTATTACTGTTGTTCTGTAAATTTATAACTAATAAAACTTGAATCAAAAAACTACTAAATTTTCAGAATTAATTTGATAAAAATTTACAATTCAAACACTCTCTAGTACCAAAAAGCATAAGAGATTGATTGAATTGGAGTCGAAGAATATAAACTGGACTTTAATAAACATTTACATTTCGAGGTACGGGGTAATTATGAACTCTGGAATGCATGTATATTCAGCTAATGAGTCCCGAATAAGACGGAACACACGTCCCAGTTTACACTGCTAGCCACCGTTCATCTCTGCTTAGATTCATCTACATTTGTTTTTTTATGACAGTTAACGGATGATGTTGTAATGAAACTTGCAGCAAAGGCTCTAAAATACATGGGTGAGAACAAATTTTTTCAGGTTCTAAAAAAGTAAATAAATAAAGAAGATTTTCTCGAACTAGTTTTTCCTGATGACTCACAAACTAGGAAAACAGGCAGACAATTGGTATGGATAGATCAATCAAATATACTTAAAACATTCATCTACATACATTGCGTATGTAATTGAGTTTGAAAGCATGCCCTTAAAAATTCAAAGTAAATTAAACAAGGGGTTATTAAAGATTATTTTTAGAATTAGTTTATTTATCACAGTTGAACAATAATCATTTCGGAATTTCTGCCTGGAAACCATGAATTTTTAATAAATAGATAGTGACTCTTTTGTCCTCAGAACACTTAGAAAAAATAAAATGAAAAAGTTAGATTGTATAGTTATAATATTGTTAATACATAATGAATTCTAAAACAGCAATATAATGTAACAGACCCCAGTACTATTGTTAAATAATTTCTTGCGATTTCCATGAACAATCTTGCATGTTCATAACAATCTTAAAAATTTCAAATGACACTCTAACAAAGAATATTTTAAGAAATATATTCATTTTTAAGATATTCGACAAGTTCTCTTACAAAATTATCATCGTAAAGCTTAGTTTGGAAAGCAGTATGATTAAAAGCATGGCCTCAAATATATTCAGTGAGAAAAATACTCTGCTTAATAATGAAAATGATTGATTCCATTGTTAAACTTAGATAATCTCAGTTTCATGTTAAGTAAAAGATTTAACTTTCAGTATTTTAAAACTATCAGTTCTTGTCGACATACTTGCCGCAAAATTCATTCAAACCAAACTTTTGGATGAGTAATATGAAACTTTACGCAAGAAAAATTGGTGAGATTCTTATTTCGATAACATTGTAAGTTATCTAAACAGTCATCTAAAGCACTTAACAAGCTATTACTGGATTTCAATTTTTTGACAAAACATAGGAGATATGGACCAAAGATATGACCACTAGAAATAGACGTCAAGGTGACACCGTAATAGTCTTCTAAACAATATGCTATAAACAACATTTTATTAAACCACCCTACCACAACGATAGAAATTGTTTATGACATTATTCATATTAGATTTATTCGCTTTCATATAAGTAAATACAAGAAGTTCGTCAAAGCCGTCTTACTACTAAGTATGTGGACTAAAATCAAATTTACTAGGTAGCATTATCAAACAATCCCTCGAAAATGATAACTATATGTTCTAAATTGTAGTTTTCTCCAACTGCATATATTGCATCCTAGACCATGTTGATAACTAGTTAACCCAAAGACTAGGATTCAGACCCGTGAAAAAACTGAAAAATGACATTTCACAAGGATGGAGGTAAGCCTAAATGACGAAATAAACAAGATAAAGTTTAAGTTCCTAATTCTGTTACTAAATACTATCTATGTTTGCACAAAACATTACCTTACTTTGAATCATGTTGCTACTGATAGTTTTAATTCTATCAATGGTTATTTCACTATGAAACATATTATTTGAAAAATAACCATGAACAGAATATTGAAGAAATGAGTAGATTTATAGATAATTTTGTGTGTGTACAATGTATAAATTTTTCAGATACATGTAAGTGACCCTCTAATTATGTATGAAGAAAGTGGTGTGTGGTTATTTTTACCAGACACACTAACGTGAGCATACACAATTACACATCTGTGTACAAAACGGTTAATTTACGTTACATAATGGAACCAAATCGATAAACAAAAACTTCATTATTCTTAACGTGCGTCTTCAAGTGGTAGACAAATATATATAATGACTCACATAAAATAAAAAGAATAATTAGATAAATAGGTCGAAAGAGAAATATCAAACTGCAGGACAGAAGGGTAAAAATAATTAAGGTTAATAAAGAAATGAAGAACGCCCTAGTGATAAGCAATTGTTGACGATTTAACATAATTTAAACACCATAAGAGTTGGTATAATTTATTTAGGAACAAACAAAACTATTGTGATAATGTATTCTTTGTTCATGTAAGTGGCACATTTTTTTAAAGATCACTCAATTTGAGATTAGATTTTGGGATTTATTCGAGCTAATATCACTTCAACAGTTGAGATCATGAGTCAATTGAAGCTAGACCACCATGGAAAACCTGGAAGCACTGGATGGCCATTTCGTCCTACTGTAGGACTCCTCAGTAGTGCGCATCCAGGATCCCGCCCCGCAAGATTAGAACTCAGGACCTATCAGTCTCGCACGCGAGCTTTTAACCTCTAGACTTCAGTCTACACAAAATGAAAGATAGGATGGTAAACTCAAGACAATAAAATGAAAATGATCTTTTATTAATTTGAACTAAGGTAGCTAAATTCTGTTCTCAAATATATACAAAAATGGGCGAAAAGACTAATCGAAAACCGTTGCACTTAAAAATAAAATGAAAATAAATGAATGGTAAGATGGTTAGCTTGAATGTACCTGACGGTACAAAACGAGTTTTCGGTGAAAAACTTCGTGAATATGAAAGATACATATCACTTGCAACTTATGTAATTTCAAGTATGATCTTTCAATCTTTGTCCTATAATAGGATTTTGTATATTTAGCATGGTTAAAATTAAGATGCATCGACTTGTACGTAAACACCATCATTCGTGTTTTACTTTAGAGAAACATAATAATTGTTAAGTAACTCTTTCATTGAAAGGACCTGACCATTCTGACGGGAGACCTAAACTCCAAAGTTGGAATGGACAACAATAGGTATCAAGATATCATGGGATGACATGGACTGACTGGGAGAAAGGAACGAGAATGGTGACAGATTTGGAAATTTATGTACATTCAACAAAATGGATATAGGTGGCACAATATTCCCCCATAAACACACCGGATCATACTACAGGGAACCAGGTCGATCATATTTGCATCCATAAAAAATTCAGAAGGCCAATGGAAGATGTGAGAACCAAGAGGGGAGCTGACTGATATGACGGGATGAAAAGGTAAAATTAGATTCCTTTACTCGTTGTGACTTTTGTTCAACATTACGTTCGTTTTTATTCCAATGTGATGATTGCTCAATGTAGTATTCGTTTTGTTTTCTAGTGTAATATTTTATTCGGTATAACATACGATATTCTTTTATTAAGTCAACATGAACTATGCTCGGCATGACATGTAGCATGCGGTTTGTTATAACTCTGGGTAATTTTTATATATGTGATTTTATATTAATTATTAATCAAAAAGGGTGTACAATCAACATATAGATGAGTGTATTTTCGACTAGCGTCGTTGTCATGTTTTGGGTTTATTAACTCTCTATTTGCACCAGTCTTGTTGTTCTTACTATGCGTCTTGGGAATTCCCATGGTTCTTCGTTTTACAAGATTAAGTCATAAGTGATTCCGACATAACAGTTAGCGACGACCAGACATAACACTGACATAGCTTCAGATTACCACCTGGTGATTGTCAAGATGAAACTGAAGCTAAAGAAACACTGGACAACTAGTTAAAAGTATTACAGAGGTTTAATACAGCCTTTATTCGATATACTGACAAACTCATCAAATTCAAGTTAGTACTCAACAACAGGTTCAAAGACTTATAGGATGTACTGAATTAGAAGAAACTACTATGGAGAACAAAAGGAAAGAGATCAAAAAAAGCACTTACTTTGATGTTTCAGAGGATTCTGAGACGCAAGAAGCATTATCATAAGGAATGGATTTCTATGGAAACCCTGGACAAGATTCAAGAAACAAAAAACGGTAAGACAGAAGTTAGAAACAAGCAGAAATACGTGGAAGCCCTAGCAATGACAGTGGTGAAAGCTGCAAGAGAAAGAAATATTAAACAACAATATGACACAACAAAGAAACTGGTGGAGAAATATAGTAAGCCAGAGACACCGTTCAGGGACAAAGAAGGCAAGACAATCTTTGAGTTTTAAGAACATCGGAAGGAATGGGTAGAACACTTCGAAGAACTCTTGAATAGGCCAGCTCCACTGAATCCACCGGACATCGAAGCAGCACACACAAACCTTCCTATAGATGTTATTCCGCTAACGAACGAAGACACCAGCATGGCCATCAGACAAATCAAGGGCGGGAAAGCAGTAGGACCTGACAACATACCACCCGAAGCACTGAATTCAAACAAAGAAGCAACTTCAAACATGTTACATGTTCTATGCAGGAAGAGCAACTGCTGACAGACTGGCAAGAAGAACACTCTATTAAGAAACAAAACAAAAAAGTTCTGAGCAAGTATGAGAACTAAAGAGACATTACACTATTATCAGTACCAGGAAAATTCTTTAACTGAGTGTTGCTGAACAGGATGAAAGATTCAGTAAACCCTCAGCATCGAAATCAGCAGGCCGGATCCGTAAGGATCGGTCGTGCGCAGACCGAATTGCGACACTACGGATCATTGTTGAACAATCAACTTAATGGAACTCGTCACTATACACCAACTTCCTTGACTTTGAGAAGGAATTCGACAGTGTGGACGGGAAAACCTCATAGAACCTCCTCCAACACTATGTTGTATCTGAGAAGATCTTCAAGATCAACCGGATTTCATACGATGGTCTACACTGCAAAGTCATTCATGGACGACACCTAAGAGATTCATTCCAAGTAAGAACCAGAGTCAGACAAGTCTGCTTACTCTCGTACTTTCTCTTTCTTCTGGCGGTTGATTGGATTGTGGAGAACTCCACATCTGACGAAAGCACGTAATACAATGGACAGATTGGATGCGACTAAACGATTTGGATTTCGTACATGATCTAGCTCTTCTATCTCATTACATCAACAAATGCAGGTCAAGAAAACCAATGTAGTAGCAGCCCCTGCATCACTAGGCCTCCACATACACAAAAGATAAAGGAAGAGTTCAAAATATGACACAGAGAGCACGAATCATATAGCACTTAGTGGAGAAACCCTGAGAGAGATGGAAACGTTTACGCAACTGGTCAGTATCATTGATGAACTGGGAGGATCCAGTGCAGACGCAAAGGTTAGGATTGAGAAAGCAAGGCAGCATTCCTGAAGTTGAACCTCATGTGGAACTCAAAACAACCGTCAACCAAATTCAAAGTCACAACCATCAATACGAACATCAAGACAGTTCCACTGTTCGGAACCGAAACTTGGAGAACTGCTACAAACATCATCGAAAAGGTACAGGTTTTCATAAATAGACTTTTATGCAAGATACTCGATATCCGTTCACCGGATATCGAGTCAGCAACAATCTACTATGAAAGAGAACAAACTAACTTCCAACTGAAGAGGAAATCAGGAAAAGACATCTGAGGTGGATAGAACATATACTGCGGAAATCAAGCTACATCGCAAGGTGAGCCCAAACATGAAATCTTGAAGACAAAAGGAAAAGAGACAGACCAAAGAATATATCGCTTCAGGAATCGGAGGGAGACATCAAAAGAGTGAATGGCAAGTGGGAACGACTGAAGAGGATTTCCCAGGACAGAGTTGGATGGAGAATACTGATGGGCGGCCTATGCTCCTCCATGAGGTGTAACAGGAATAAGTGAGTGAGTCTCTTACTAATTGAAAAAGTCTTAACTCAACTTTACATACCCTATTACTCATAGGCTTGTATTTGCCTATTTTCAACGAAGAAATATATGTTTATATTTATCAACATTAAACATTTTACTGTTGCAGTGGATCCTTTATATGGGTTTATCTTAAATAATACACATATCTTCAAGTTGCATGATATTTATAAAGTAGTTTTTAAAATATTTACGTTTTTGGCTATTTTATTATTTTAAACATGTCCTTTAAAACCCAGAAAACATTTTCGAATCGTAATGTATGTGGTTTAACTGGCCTTGATCTAGAACGGGCTAACCTCTTTAAAGACAGTTTAATCGTCCTTTCAAACCTTAAATAAATGCATAAATTGTAAATACAATATCAAATGAAAAAACTACTAACCGTAGTTTTATAAAAAAAATTTCATATTTGATAAACAATAGGCGATTTAAAGTGTTTGCAACTAAATAATAGTCATCAGAAGACCATTTTTGGGTGGATAAAAGTAGAGAATCTATGGCATGTGTCGTTTGAACAGAATTGTAAAATACGTGGCATAGCACTTAAAATTAATAAGATATTTATTTTGAATACGAACTTCATTTTGTACAAACAAAAACCTTCTGTGATAATAGTAGTAACTTTATTCAAAGTCATAGTTTCGAATTTGGACTTGAAAAAAACCAAATTCACAGTCAGTGACTATGAGTTATTTGTACGAAAAATAATAAAAATAACTGCTTGCTTAACAAACAGTTTTCATGTAGATAATCTGTAACCTTTTATTAATTGACTCAACATTTTATACTAGAAGAAATAATATCTTTGGATTATGAGACGTTAACCCACCAAAGTTATTTCAAACATTAAACTGCTATAGGCAGATGATAATAATTAAAGTTCGCGACTATACGACAGTACCAAACGTCAGATTTGTTTTCTTAGTACCACATAAAGGGTTTATAACAGTTCAAATTACTTAAAAGTGTGTGAATTGTGTTTCAATGAAAGCTGATGGATTAATTAGGTCCAACATTGTTACCATTAATCGATAAAATGGTCATTCACAATATCTAGTAAAGGTCCGAAAACATTATTTCACTGCAGGAATATGCATAGAAAGTTGTACATCTTAACTTCCAAGTATATTAAAAAAATTTTGATGTGAATACTATATCATGAGATATTATCTTAAGGTAAAATTAAAATAACGTATTGATGTTTGTAACATACATGTAAAAACTAATCATTTGCTATAAAAATATTAGTCAAACACTCACTAACCCGGCAGAAGCATAAAACAGAGGATTATTTGTAATTTGGGATTTTTCACTTCATATATGATCGCTTTAAAAAATGTGAGACCCTCAAACGTAACATTCAGAAAGTTTCGTACCTAAATCTAATCATTAAATTTTCGTGTGTCCTTTAGAGCAATCATAGTATCCAAAAATCATTCACAGGATGAAGAATTCATTCAAAATTCAGGATTAACTAAATCTGTCATTGTGTAAGCGTTTTGTACTTACTACATCAAACTTATAAATGTACATCTTTTAAAATTTTTATAAAATGAAATCGCAGAAAATCGATGCTGACTTGCAGCGTAAACCGCTTCCCTGTTTATCATTGATTATGATTAAGAACTAGTATAGGAAATAAAGGATTCTGAGTTAATTGACACAGAATTTGTACGGTGCTGGGGGATTCTAAATTGGCATATAACAGTCAGTAATTATTTCATCATTCCGAATTCATACCAATAGCTTTCTTCATATAGAAAAATTCATGATATACTTTTCAAATAAATCATATACGTGCATAATTTTCATACTCGTGAATTAATATGAACCTACTTGCGCGCATATTTGATCGGCCATACTTTTACCATTGAATATGTGTCCGAATCAAGTAGTTCAAATGCATTTTCTTTTATACGTAGTAAGTAGCGACCGGACAACCCTAAATCTTTTGACTTTTCTGTGTGAATTATGTAGACAGAAAATGTATCTAAAAACCAATGTAAAATAAAAATACAGATGAATTCATAATAAACAATAAAATATGATCATTTTTACCTAGAAACGTCTCCCGGATCTTTTTGAATTCACTTTTGGTCATTCGTATTTTTCGAAATCACCTGGTTGAGTGATGCATTACCTAGTACCATGTGAAAACCGCTTTATGTTGCACATTTTGAAATCTTAGTAAAACCTAAATCCTCTGCATATTTTCTAAATTCATCAGTGGCTAAGTTTCATTCCATATTTTAGTATCTGGTGTCACAGATGGATGAACGAGAAATAATCAGAAATAATTCACACTTGAATTATGGTCAAAGGTTTTGGTTCACTATAGCCATTAGTCAGTCGTACGTTCCTCAGGATCCGATGTGTTTAACGGTAGACTTTTCGTACGCTAATATCATTCTAAATATCTTTTAAACGCTGGAGGTATTCACGAGTGAAAATACACGCTTTACATCTGAAACCTTGATTTTTGTAATCATTAATTATCGAGGTAAAATTCCTTTGATCTAACAATGTCTGATATCTTGCAAATCATTTTGCTAAGGCCATAAGCAGTTTTAACAGTATAAACAAATATATTCAAAAAGATGAATCCAACATATCATTAATCTATTATCATTTAGAAAACAGTTGTGTTTTCATCATGAACTCTTGCTTTCCTAACTGAAAGCATAACTAAAACAATTTCGCAGAAATATACCACTGGATATTCACTTAATTTTTAGAGACTCATTTGCTATAAATTGAGTAATACTAAATTAATCACTTCATTGAAGGTATTTTCGCATATTGAAACGATTGTTTAACTGTGATAGGAATTCAAAGGATATTTTGTGCCTAATTAGAAATATTAACCCGACAAGCCTTCAGTTCATGTGTGTTCTTAGCCTACAGGAAAATGAGTTTGTTTACCTTGTCAGTGCAGAAAAGTATGAAATACATAGTTCATTGCTGTTAAGTGAAATGTTTATAAAAACCAAGTATGCTTTTTAGGAAATGATTTTCGCCATTACACCTTGCACTAATAAAACTTCATATTACAATTATTTTTGAAGTTTCGAATTCGCCTCTAGTTTTAGAAAATTATTCAAGATGCTCATAACTTTTAATTTTAAAAAAGGACAGCGCAAAGTATCATCTCAAGGCGAGTATATTTAACCTAACATTATACAAATAAACACTTTCTACAATCCAAAACTTGCTACCATACATGGATCTAAAATGAAATGAAGCTGCCTTGTAGAAACATATTGAAGAAACTTATTAACCCAACATATATGATCATAAACCTTTACTTTTTATCATCATACAGAAAAAAAATTTTATTACAATGGAAAGGATTTGATTCCGCTCTATGGATATTCCGACTAAAACGTCGCTGACATTTTTAAAATTAGGTATCTTCAAATCTTATAGGATTTACTTTACTGCTAACCACTCAGCCTGTGACCAAATGGAAGTTAAGTCAATAAACAGAGTTAGCAGTATTTTGTTGATTGAAAATGATAGTTCCCTCAAAAGTACGCTCAAGTCTATCCGTAACTTTACACAATTGACGATAGCATAATGCGTTTACAAAAGTGAAAGCGTGTATTAGGCTATAAACAAAAAAAACAAACCGAAGCCTGACTACTTATTGCAAAATAGTTCCTCACTCACTTTGAAACTAAACAAGTTTTTGTAAAATAAAAGAGAATGCAAAGCATGCGTCATTTACCTTGGGCAGAAGTACTTTCATATATTTCATTATCTAAAATATTTGGCAAGGCTGAAGCAAGTAAATCCAACTCCGATGTTTGGGATAAACTTAATGCAGATGTCCGTAGTAAATCAGGACCATTTAAAGTATTTTTTTTGTTTCTATGCTTTGTAACCAAAGTTTTCAAAGATGAATACCATATATCTTGATCAAACAGAGATGTAAAACCCAGCCACAACTGCTTTTTACCAAATAAAAATCGCGAACTTAGATGAATTTGGTTACATGGAATGGCACTCTTAACAGTGCTTGAAGCATGCTTCTGGTTAGGATGACTATTATCATTAGATATTGATGTATGGCCAGAAACAATATGTTTTCGACAGACTTTGAAAGAATTTAATGGGATGATTATTTTTGTATCAGGTAGATCTAGCGTTTCATATTCTGTATCTTGTAAGTCAGCCGTGATAACGGTATTTTTCGGGTCTCTGTGTAAAACAAGCACTGCTCGATTCCATTCTTTCTGTAAAGTTTTTTTCACAATAAAGCTTTTATTTGGTTAATATATGTTAAATGTATAGAAGTGAAAGATCATCGACGTTTATAAACATCAAAAGGACCAAATAACTCATGTTAATTTGAACTTAATCACTACCGTTGCAAATCCTTGGTGTTTTAAAGTGAAAAAAAGAATATAGATCGTGTCTAATTATTTTACGTATTCAAGGACTTTTAAGAATTTATATTTTTACTTTAGAAGGCATGTCATGTTATTTCCACTTAATTATACATTGTTAATGTCATATTTTGCCATTCGCGTTTACTATAAGTCAAATATTGTTGGCGCCTATTCATTCAGTGAAACTATCATTTTGGAATAGATATAAAGCGAAGAAGAGTTTTTGAAACGGTCCTACCTAAAGTTATCATTAAGGTTCTCTTCATATAATCATTAAATACTTAAACTACTATATACTTGTATTATTGTCTTTGTAAGCTTTTGTTTAACGCAGAAATTATTGTTATGCATCTTACCTTTCCTAAATTATTGCTGACTTATTACGGACCAATCTGTGATGTTTATATAAATCAATGATTTCTTTGTATTGATGACCGTTTCGATTTTGAATTCCAAATACAGTAAATTCGTTCGTGCTCATCTAATACTTCTTGATTGAATTGCGTTGATGCTGTGGTAACTAGTTTATGCTATAATTCAAATACTTCAAATCATCTCACATACACATAGCCAACTCTTTCTTTACACTTCCTGTACACTAGTGCAAACAGGAATTTAATGTTTTTATAAATCCGTAGAGGTAGTACATTGTCATATCCTCTATTTACAGTTTTGATACGGTCCAGTGACTAGTGTTTACGATGCAAATGGTAATTCTATCAGTTGGCTGGAACTGCCCTTAATTTACCGATGAGATGCGTATGAATTCTCAGCTTGGTCAACTACCAACTAAACGCAACTGTCCAATTAAAGGTATCGATCCAATCAGTCAATAATAATTTTAGATCAAAGGTTTTTTCTACCCTACAGTTTTGTCAAAGTTACAACGGTCTTCCCAGTTAGCAAGAATAGTTTCAGGAAATGCTATCCCTTCAAGCACATTAGATATGGAAAACTACCTCGTAATCAAGATGAACTTCAAACTCTACAGTATTTTACATACCCAGTAATATATGTGTACCTCGAATACTAAACCAAACTTATTTCTTGTGACCCACTATAGCTGAAACCCATCAAGTCACTCTACTTGTGTCTATCTTAAATCTCATGTCTCTGCAAATGTTTAGTTTTTCTTTCAGAAGTGGATATGTTACGCATTTAACGGCGTTCTTTGTTTCTGCTGACCCCCACTGAGCTGATAAAAAATAAGAAAGTAGGCCTAAATAATGTCATTTTTAAGGAAAACTACGTAAATCGACAGTTAAATATGAACTGACATAAAAACATCTCGCTACAAAGTATCTATAGTCTTAAACGATTATCGAAATAATTTGGACATTATGTTACTGATGATAGAAAATCAAGAGTGCTTTAATTCCATGAAACACATTTTATACATTTCCAAGTGAACAATACCTTATTTGCCGGACAGTTTGTTAGATATTTGAAGTAACCCCTTGTGCGCAGGGACAGGTCATTCATCCGTATATTTACAATAATATAGGATATGTTTCAGTTACACAGTAAAACAAATAATCGAAAATAAGACATTGACTTGATGAAGTAATGAAATAATTTTCCTGTAAAGTTTCATGTTTAATAAAGTGGAGTCGGTTATTGGATATGTAGATGTAACTCATTATATTTCAATCTTAGTTGGATCACAAGTATCGACAGATTACCAAATATAGTGGTCACTGAATGGATCACAAACGTTCATATTGTCTTATCCTACAGTTTCGAGGAAGAATATCTGATATCCTTGTGAAACTCTTGGATAAATCTATTGATTTGTTTGCGGTCGTCTCTTATTATTTGAGTATGGTGTTAGGCCTGGGTGAAAGTCTAGCCACTCAACTGCGCTAATTATAGTCACTTTGGTTGTTATTTGCTGGCTACAATATCCTGTTATCTGAGAGAGTGTGACTTTACCGAGGAATTAAGGATCTTGAATACCATCAGTAATCACATTATCAGGCAGAAGGTGGTTGGTTGCAATATGAAAGCAAAAAGGAAAAAAATCGAGTGCTAGAAGAAGACAATTGTTCCAAAAACTGAATAAGTAACTATGTAAGTTGGTTTATTAGTATATCATGTCAATGTGCTTCATCCTGACTACAATCCACCAGCACAGAAACCCCGTAAATCACCGTACTGGTTGGCTCTCGGGTGTTCATTGGTGGTTGAGAGGCACTTCTTTTGCCTTGCGAATTGTCAGGCTATTTCGGATTTCTGGAGACCGTTGAACTGATCGCCTCCAAGATGCCAATTATATTTTTCTGTAACGTATGCTGAGTTTAAAATTAGCCTGAAGGAAAAGGTCTACATTCAGTACATTTTGACCTTAATACAGACGATTGAACTGGTGCACATTCGAAATATTGCGCAATATTTGTGACGGTTTTTTATTAAAGTCTCATTCACTTTTTAGCAAATCGGCTTCCTGCGATTGGATATTTAATAAAACCAGGTAGTTTTTTCTGACGTCTTTCAGCCCGACTTCCAGAGTTTTGGAGGTCGAACTACCTTCATTTACTTTCCTGACATCAGCACACTGCTCCTTTCCTTTGACAGCAACTGATATATCTGCGACAGTCTGAGATTTCACCAGGGGATGCGCACGTGCTTGACAAGTTGGGTTTATTGTTGGGAGTTAATGGGCTTGTTTTTGAAGGGGTTATGTGTTTTTCTTTTCTCTATTCCGTTGTCATATAATAATAATAATAATAATAATAATATATTTCTGCATTAGCAGGTACACGCCATTTTTACAGGCATGATCTACAATTTGCAACATATACTGGTTCACAGTATGCATCCCAAGCAAGGTTGTTTAGTAATTATAATCTATAAAAGTTGATAGCAGTTCATTCGTTCAGATATAATGTGTTTTCATAAGAATAGTTTCCAAAGGGGCATAGCGTCCACGTTATATACCAGATCCAATCTCGACAAAAAGTTTAATAGGGTTTCGGTAGTTCTAAGTATTTATGTAATGCAGCTTTTTAAGTTTATAGTTGTTATAAAGTAGGCTTGTGGAGCGCCTGGTTTGAGCTATGACCTTGGGAAAGCGCGTTCGTCAAGCTTTTTCCAGATGTCAGAAGTTACATAGCTTCACCCTCGGAGCAAGATTCTGAAGAGAAAAAATAAAAGAGAAACCGAGGAGCAGCAAGGCATTTGGATATGAGCGATAATCAATGCTTAACATTTAGTAGTGGAACAGATGGAGGTATGATAAATTATTAGAATAAATTGATACTAGCTCATGTTGCAAGAGTAAACTGCGATTAGGGTCTCCAGAAGAGAGAAGGCAGTAATAAAGAACAATGAGTTGTTATATTTATCAAGGTGGAGTAGGTTCCAATGAAGGAGGGAAGTCAAGGTTGGAATGAGGAAGAACAGAGAGTGCGTATAGAGAGTAGTGTTAAGTAAAATAGAAACCATATCCTTTACAGTCAGTTTTTTTTTCTTTTCTCATCCGATGCCTGCCACACAGTGTTCATGTAAAAGTCCGAGTTAGCATGTTAAAGGTTGTCTTAGTAGAATAGTTAATCCAGCACAAAAATTGGAAACATGAGTCTTAATGGTGAGTGTAGGTGAACAATCTCAATATCACAGATCTATTGACTTGTTTTCATCCATAAAGAGCCTGATACAAACAAAATGTTCTGCCCCACAAACACGGGTGGATTGAAATCATCGCCCACACCATCAGTGCTTGCTGGTCAGTAACTCCACCCTCCCTCCTTTTGTGATGTTAGGCTCATTTACGATTATTTTTTGGATACATATCATACCTCACACAATGCTCTGTGTTTCACATCCTGTTGGAAAACACTATTTCTATAAGTACCATGTTACAAGCTTATCAGACAGTTACAAATTATGGACTGTGGGTAAGGCTTCGATGCTATGTTTTTATTGACTATATAGTGAAGTGTAGGTTACGAATCAGAGTATAGGCATTAGGAAGGGTATAGTGTAGAATATTTCTTTACCATAGTAGGCAGAAAAATGGAGATTTATATTAGTTACAGATAAGGTAAGATAACGAGTGGTGAAATAATATTGATGGCAAGGCAACATAGTGTACAGATGAGTAAAAAACTGATAAATAGACAAGAAGTAACTCACACTAAATTCGCGCTGAGGTTGTTTTGTTCTATGCTAACCGGTTGATGGGTGGCAGTAGTCAGTCGATTGTGTGTTTCTTCTGGTGTTTTAGGGTATTTATGGGCGTCGTTTAGCGACCGAGTATTGATAGATCCAGTGAGTTGCCTGTCTACTTCAATTGGAAAGAATTAATGAGGGGAAAGTATCTAATACAACTACAAGGTAGGGAAATAAGGCGATTCAGTCTATATATGTAGAGAGCCTATGATGTCTGTGTGGGACGTGGATGTGTTCGTTTGCACCAGATCTATGCTGGTGAGGGGTTGATTAATGAGTCTTGTAAACGTATGTAATTTGTCTGCCATGCGTACTTCAGAAGGCAGACTGTTCCATATCAATGCGTACTTGATAAGGAAGAAGTTTTCACGTGTTTTTGATCTGTGTTTTTCAATTTTGACAGTGGATACTTTGTCTCGAAGGTTGTATCCATGTGAGTCTTGGTAGAGAGCTATATTACATGTGGAATAAGTAAGGTTTTTAAGGAGTTTAAAATAAAGAATTAAGTTAGACCTAAGCCTTCTTTTCCAGAGGGGTTCTAGTCCTAAGATATGGCATCTGGATTTGTAGTCAGTGAGTTGGTCATTCTTAAGTATTTTGCGAGTGAAGTCTCGCTGTATTCCTTCCACCTTAAGTATATCAGATAGGCGTAGGTTGGAAAATAAGAACGAGCAGTATTCGACGATGGGTCTTACGCAGGTTTTATACAGGATGATTTTAGTTTCCTTTTGAAAGAAATTACGAAGGATGAAGCCAAGCAATCTCCGCGTTTGAGATGCTTTAGTTGAAATATGTTCAGAGAAGTTAAGACTGTCGGAGTAATGTACCCCAAGGTCAGTTACTGATGTCAGTCTGAGCAGTGGGTTTTTGTTAAGTGCTAGTTTTAATTTAAGTGACGTGTTACCAATACATAGCCAACCGCATTTCTCTGTGTTGAGCTCTAGCCCCCAGCGTTTGCACCATTCGTCTACTTTGTTGAGTTCATGTTGGATCGTTTGCATAGTACTTCGTACATCACCAATGTCAGTTTTATAGATGACTTTTAAGTCATCAGCGTAAAGGTAGGTCTTACCTGTAGTAAAGCACTTGCATATATTGTTGATATAAATTATAAAGAGCAATGGGCCCAAGACACTACCCTGCACAACACCACTGGTTATTGGTCGAGGTGTAGATGTTGTAGAGTTAAGCTTGGTTATTTGGTATCTGTTTGTGAGGAAAAACTTAATCCATTGCAATAGGGGGTTTATAATTCCAACTGACTGTAGTCTGTTGATTAGAAGATTATGGGGTACTTTGTCAAAGGCTTTCTTTATATCGAAATAAAGTATAATCACTAGCTTTTTCTGGTCACGTATGCGAGTAACCTCGTTAAAGAAGTCTATCAGACATGTACTACATGATCTTGTTCTAATGAAACCATGTTGTGTTGGGTCTATTAGTTCTTCCTTAAGTAGGTGATCTGATAGTTGACTTTGTATCACTTTTTCCATTATGCGCGAAATAACACTCGCACTACAGTGCGAGTGTGCGTATCAGAAACACGGACAGAAATGATCTAATGTGAACCCAAAGCTCTGCATAGCCACTGCAACATCATAGCAATAGTGGACTCAGACTCTACAGAAATCCCATTCCAGCACTGAGTAGCTGGTTTCGACGAGCGATGAGCATGGTACGCAATTACGGTTTTCTTGCGTTGTTTCACTCCACCAACGATCGAAGAAGTCAAGATGGCCATCAGACAAGTCAAAAGCGGGAAGGCGGCAGGACCTGACAATATACCAGCAGAAGCACCGAAGTCAGACATTGAAAAAACTGCAAACATGCTTCACCTTCTATTCAAGAATATTTGGAAAGAGGAACAAGTGGCAATGGACTGGAAAGAAGGATATCTCATCAAGATACCAAAGAAAGGAGATCTGAGCCAATGTGAGAACTACAGAGGCATAAGTTTGTTATCAGTACCAGGAAAGGTCTTTTACGGAGTGCTGCTGAATCGGATGAGAGACGCAGTAGACGCCGAACTTAGGGATCATCAGGCTGGATTCCGTAAGGATCAGTCGTGCACAGACCAGATTGCGACACTACGGATCATCGTTGAACAATCAGTTGAATGGAACTCATCACTATACGTCAACTTCATCGACTATGAGAAGGCGTTTGACAGCGTGGATAGGAGAACATTATGGAAACTTCTACGACACTATGGAGTTCCTGAAAAGATTGTCAACATTATCCAAAACTCATGCGATAGACTACAGTGCAAAGTGGTGCATGAAGGACAGCCGACAGAAGCATTTCCAGTAAGGACCGGAGTCAGACAAGGCTGTCTACTCTCCCCATTCCTCTCCCTTCTAGTGATTGACTGGATTATGAAGAATTCGACATCTGAAGGGAAATACGGAATACAATGGACTTCTCAGAATCAATTAGATGATTTGGACTTCGCAGATGACCTAGCCCTCCTCTCTCATACACACGACCGAATGCAGATGAAGACAGCAA